AGGAAGAACTTCTTCCCTCTGAGGGTGACGGAGCCCTGGCCCAGGCTGCCCAGGGAGGCTGTGGAGTCTCCTTCTCTGGAGATATTCAAGACCCGCCTGGACAAGGTCCTGTGCAGCCTGCTGTAGGCGACCCTGCTTTTTCAGGGAGTTGGACTAGATGACCCACAGAGGTCCCTTCCAACCCCGAACATTCTGTGATTCTGTGATTCTGTGATTCTGCAACTTACCAGGACTCTGGACTCTCTTCAGTTTGTCACCCTCATCTCCTAAGCACAACACAGCTCAGCTGCTGTGCCAGTAAACATGGCGACTTGTCAATATGCATTTTCCAGTTTCTTGGCTCACACCCACATTTCTAGGACTAGACCAGCTCCATAGATACACACGCACAGTTTGCATACACCCACCTGCAAACAAACTCTGCTGCTGCTGCACTCCCGGTACCTATCTGCACTCGCTGCTTTTATGCGCGCACACACACAAACCTTTCCCAGCACACATGCCTGTGCAAACATGAGTACACACACACACAGCTGTAAGGAGGAACACAGTTTTTCCACTGCTGGGACATCAGGTATCGCTGCAGCTGTACTGGCTGGCACAGCAGCAGAAAAGCAGAAGAGCAAATCCTCCTTTGGGACAAGGATTTGTGGACCCTGAGAATTTGAAAGGGAACCTGGGAAGTGAAGGGCTTGAGATGCAGGAAGCAGGAGGATATTGGTCCCTAACCTCCCACTTGGAGTTGAGAGGAAAATGGCTCCCAGTCGCACTGAGAAACACACAGCAACGACGATGCCCTTTGAAGCCAAGTAGAAATTAGTCCTGGCTGCTTGTGACTGAGCCTCTGCATAGAGAAAGGCCACAACTGTAGGTCTGGCAGAGTAGGGGAAGGGAGCAGGAGGTTGGAAGCATCTTGGGGAAAGGGGAAGGAGGATGAGCATCTGATGTGTCTGGACGCAGCTGGTAGGGCCTGGAGGCTGCTGTTGTCACTGCTGCAGATGCGTGCAGCGTTTCCGAGTGTGAACAAGCTGGCGAGCAGGGCACTGCCATGCAAGGAGGCTCCAGCCAAGCCCTGGCACCAAGGGTGTTACAGCTTAGCTCCTGCAATGTGGCCTGCACTGTGCACAGGCTCACAGCTCTGTTTGAAATGGTCTGAAAAGGAGGGAGGTTTGGCTGTTGCTGCCTATCCCTCTCCCACCCAGCTCCCCTCTGCGCCCTTTCTCCCCTTGCTCCTTGCCGCAGCGCCGCAGGGGCTCTCACCTGCCCCCCTGAAAGCCCGGGGGATGCAGAGGTGGGGACCCTCCACACTGCCCTCACTGAGAGGCACCTCCAGGCCCCTTCGCCGTGAGGAGAGCAGGAGGGAGGACAGAGCCCTGCCCCTGGCTTAGTGGCCGGCAGTGACTCCCCTTCCTGCAGCAAGGCCTTCCCTCTGGACCCGGGCGCAGACGCCGTGGTGTGCATCTGCCACAGCCCTTCTCCCCCAGCCCAGCCACCACCCCTCACAGGGACATCCAGGCTCCACATCATTTCAGCGTGCATATTTATCGCTTTCCCCCCGCAAGACATGTATTTGAATTTACTCTTGGTAAACATAACCACAGGAGATGCGAATACGTGCCGGGGAAGCATAAATAACTCCACACAGATAGACACACACAGACAGCAAACACAGACACGGTTCACCAAGGGAAACCAAGAAGTGCAGAGCACGCCCTGAGGCTGCCACCAGTCCCAATGACTTTGCTCTCAACCACCAAGCCAAGAGGATTTCTCCTGCTCTTCCTTTGCAGCAGCTGGTGGGAGAATAAAGCTAGGGAGGAGGAGTCTAAAGTTGCAAATATCCCATGAAAGCATCATGGCAAGTCCTGGCTCTGCAGTTTTCTGCAATCATCTCCAAGGAATGGTTCCAGTTGTAGGAAGTTGCAAGTCTTTCACAGTGTGAAAGGGTGGAGGGGCATGGGGACCACCATGAGGGAGGAGCAGCAGGTCATCTTGCAATGTCCCGATTGCAGCCAGCCGATAAACCTTCACGTGGGAACATCGGGGCTAGATGCTCCATCTAGGTCCTCTTCTGCCCTCTCTAAGGTGCTGATTCTTCTTGAGGTGAGAATTGTCTTCAGCGGGACATCATGCGAACAAACTCTGCAACCAACAAGAAAAGACAGCCCTGAAGCAGAAGGCATCCAAGGTCCCCAACTCATCTCGTTCCCTGGAGACAGCACGCAGCCAGGGTGAAACACTGCCAGCAGGTCTGCACTGCTCTGTGACTGGCCCTGGAGAGCTCACACGAAACGGGCTTTAATCCTTGCACTAGATATGGTGATACGATCCCACCAGCAGGTCAGTTCATTGCCTCAGGCTCCCTCCCAGCCAGCGCGCAGTCTTGCTTGCGCCAGCAGCTCCTTGTGAGACACTACGGCAAGGGTTGTCTCCCTTCACTGTCACTTCAGGGAACCTTGATTTATACTCTTGGGAACACGGTGTGATTTCTCAGTAAGCTTGCCACTTCACAGAGACACCTGTGTGGGAAAGCACTAGTGTTTTGGTAGGTGCCAGCATTTTTGTAGATACAAGTTTACTTTGATGCACTTCTTAAAGATACAGGTTAACTGTAGGGATACCCTGGATCTATTTCTTCACCAGCCTGCAGCTTGTGAAGTCAATTACAATTGTTCAAATTGAGTGCAAATGCCATCAAATATAAGTGTGTTTTCATTCTGCACTTGAATTGCCGAGGAACTAATAACTCCGCAAAGAGGAGGGCAGTGGAAATTACCCCCTTGACTTCTCATTTTCCATTGATGGAGCTGTCCTTTGACAACCAAAGCAGTAACTCACAGAGAAAATGATACTGGGATAGCATTTCATGTGGTTTAGCTGTCTAACATAATTTAGCTGTGGGAAACAAGCAGACCTACTGTCGTGTAATCAGCCAGAACATTAGAACAACTGCAGCTACCAGATACTTTCTAGGGAGACACTTCCACTTTTTAGCATTTTCAAAGCCCTCAGAAGCTTCAGCAATCCTGAGGGCTGAGACTTCTTGTCATGTAGAAGACCCAGGAATACCTCTGAGACAAAAAAAGTATGTCAATTTTATTTCAATTCTGCAGTTCCTGTGCTTTGCCCTTGCTGCAAAAGAACGCCTGGATTTGCACTATGAAAACAAGCAGCCTGCCACGCTCTCACACCTTCCAGCTCTTAGATCCGCTTAGCCGTCTGATACCAATGGCTCCCCTGCCAGAAACCCTGAGCTCTATTAATGTTGCTCCTGCGGTGGCTGATGGCTAGGATAGTAGCCTAACCACTCTTAGATTTTCCAAGTCCTTCCAGCATGAAAAGTGGGAGAAGAAATGAGTTATCTCTAGGATGCAACATGACACCTCTAGATCAGCTGTCTGCAGTCCTAGTGAGCACATCTGGCACATGAGCACCTTCTGGCATAAAGGCACAGAAAGAAATTCTCTATAAACTCAGATAACAAGGTGAGCCAGAGGAAATGGAAGGTGCAATGAGTTCTCCAAACCAATCCAGTCCCCTCACAGCTCTTGCAATAGATTTTATAGACAGGAAAATGCTCCATAAAAAGAAGACTGGCGCAGCATGTGTGCACCAGAATCTGCTTCTCTGTGACAGGGCATATCTCTTACCATGCTAGAATTATGGAGACACAACTGAAACTGAGGTGCAGCAAGGGACAACACACAAATGAACACTTCAGCTGAGGAATTCCCTGTGCAGGCCAATGTTCTCTGTTTTCCTCAGCTGACTAGGGAAAAAACCCGGCTTGACTTTTTCCTCCATACTGACGATACCTGGGTCCTGAGCACGCAAATCTTCCCTTCTGCTTCCGCCTCTGAGCTGGAACTCTGACTCACACCAGAGCAGATGGACAGGGAACGTTCATCCCTTCTCACCTTCAAAATCGACACGCCCGTCTCCATTCAGATCCACGTCCCGGATGATCTCTTCAATATCCCGATGGCCCACCTGCTGCCCTAGAAGCTTCTTCATGGCTTCTCGCAGCTCGCTGGTGCTGATCTCCCCATCACCATTGGTGTCAAACTGCAAGTACATGAAAAATACCAGCACAGGAAATACAGTTAATGGAAATGGATCTTGCTCTGAGTTGGATTTTGTGTTGTCCTGCTCCTGAGTGCCCTTATTTATCAAGCATTTCTTTTGTGTCCCTCCTTTTTCTCCTTTGGGTGCCTTTTGGTCTGGGTCCAGTCTGCCTTTTCTCCTCAGAAACCCCTCAATACTGCTGTGTCTGCACCAGCTTTCATCTTCCTTGCCTCACGGGTTCCCTTATCTCAGTGGCTTTCTCTGCTCCTCCCTTGTTTTGTGTCTGGCTTGGCTCTTTCTCTGTCTTCCACTGTGCTGCTCTCTCTCCTCCTCCTCTTCCCCAGTGGGTCTTCTCTATTTCCTGTCTCCTGTTCCTCACCTATCAGGGGGGCACACGGTAGGGAGCACTCACCTCTCTGAAGGCATCGCGGAGCTCTTTTACACCAATCATGTCTGCAGTTTCTGCCAGCAGCTTTGGTCCCATCAGCTCAACAAAATCTTCAAAATCCACATGGCCACCCACTTTGGATAAGATGAAAGATCGTGTGTAAGAACTCCATACGTTAGCCAAGCCCAGCACGCACTTTGCACCTCTGTGTGCCCCAGAGAGAGCTTGGATCTCCAGGAAGCAAAGCATGGAAGGTGCAGGACAGTGGAAGGAAAAGCAGAGGTAGTTTTACACTGGCTTTATGTTTTTGGGATTGTGGGCTAGGCGGAATGAGCCCAAGCTATTCCATCCTAGGCTGCCACTGACTGTCACGTCCTTGTGGCATCACGTATCAGGAATCAGAGGCTTGATCATTCCAGCACTTACAGCAACCCCCCGCTGCGCCTGTGCCAAAGAGTACGGCAAGGGCACAGCATGACGTTCCTGCACGGCCCCGGCAGCGCCCTGCAGCAGTGGTGGAGTCTTGCTCCGTTAGCAACGGCTAATGTATGTCCAACTGTTTATTCATCATTTTAGCCCTTTTTCTTGTTTGTCCCCTATCTGAAAGCTGTCAGTTACACTCTGAAATTTGAAGTACTTGTGTGCCAGGGTTATCAGCTGCTTTTGTGTGTGACTGGTTGCGTATGTCACAACTGTTTTCCTTCCCTTGACAAGTAAATTATCCTTTTTACATCACCACGTGTCAGAAATAACATGCACTAAATATACTTTTTGCCACCTGGCTGAGAGTAATATTCTGCACTGCCACAGACAAGAGACGATAAAAAATGATAGTGAAAGACAAGCAGCACAAACACAGTTACAGTGAATCGGATGCGTTTGTCACATTTTTCCATGACTGCAGCAGATGCCCCCATCTGACACGGCCGGCACAGCTCGCTCGCAGCCCATCCCCAAGCGCACAGCAGATCCACAAGCACCCGCCGCAGGGTGAACAGGCCATCCATCACTCTTTCTGACCAAAGCATCTCCATCTTCCCAGGCTCTTTCTGCAGTCTGACACCATCTGACAACAGCTTCAATATGACAACACCTACAACATGTGCACCAATGTCTAACTGCCCACACCAAGGGCAGTTTTATACCTGACAGCGTAAGCATGAAGGACAACCCTTCCACTCCCTGTTCCCATACATCACAGTCCACACAGCTCCTTTGATATGCAAAAAACACAGCCATCAACTTCTAGGGACCACAAACATGCAGGAGAGATGATGAGGGGACCAAAAAAAGAGGGGGACAAAATCCAAAGGAAAAGCGACAGCAGGAGGCTGAGAGAGCCCGAGGCAGTGATGCAGGGCACAGCAGCAGCAGGGAGGTACAGCTAGGTGGGTACTACTCACGGTTCATGTTGATCTGCTGGGAAAGCTCTATTAGCTCCATCTCAGTAGGCATGTAGCCCATGGTTCGCATGCAGTTCCCCAGGTCCCTGCAGTTAATAAACCCATCCTTGTCTTTATCAAACTCCTTAAAGGCTTCTCTTAATTCTGTGGGAGTGGATCCAAAAAGAGCAATATTGTCAGTGACAGCCTGAAATACCTTTTCCAAGAAACCTCCCCAGAATCAGCGGCACTTTATGAGGCCAGGCTCCCTAAGATACTCCACATTTTCTCCTGCAAAAAGGCAATGACTGGAGAGCAATGCAAAGCTCTTCTAACAGCAGCACTGCTGACCCATTCCTTACAGGAAAGCTTGCCTGGACTACAAGTGTCACAAACTGATCATTGCTAAACCGTACTCCCTAAAAAAATTGAAACTAATAAGTTTTCCCAACTTTTACCCCTGCACTAGATAATATATCTAGCCCTCACTGTAGGGATCAGCAGCTAGGACGGCTTCCCCGGAGCAATACTATCACATCGTGCTCTACAACAGTTTCTGTGGGAGCTGGGGTGGACAGCAGTACCCTGACAGCCAATATCCCCTTACTTCACTTCTCCTCCCACCCTGAAGAAGCTGGAATGGATGCAAATTCCTTCACAGTCAGCACTTTTGCAATTTTACATATTATTTCTTTTGCAGGGGTTTCCAGGAATTATTCCAGTAATCATCTCCCATGATTTGCCCCAAATTATTTTACCCCATGGGGGCCAACCTGGAAGGGCCAGCCAGTAGGTTTTCACTGGGCAGGGAGAAAGGTGAAGCGGAAGGAGCGACAAATTTTACCTTCTATTTCTTCCGGACGCAGTTCTCTATCCTACAAAAAGAGAACACACTATGTTAAAGCCGTTTGCTTGCCACAAACACAGTTTCAGAATAGCACTTGTTGATGCAAACAGTTCTGGGACAAGCCAGAAAGTGAGAGAAGAAACAAGAAGGTGATGACATGTTTAATACCATCTACCTAGCAAGGCTTCCCAGCCCTCCTCCCCAACAGGAGGGGTGTTAGCCTGCACGCTTTTCTGTGGAAGCCCCTCTCCCTCACATCTGCTGGACAGGGGGATGACAGGTACTTCCCCAAAACAGAAGAGACCTGGGCCAGCACAGCAATACGTGTGGCCTCCCTGCCTGATGGTACCATGAGCACCTTCACGAAGCTCCTACATCATTCCCCAGCACCAAGTCCTGGAGCAGAGATGGTCCCTGCAGCAGTTATGATCTCTGCTACAGCCTTGATCGTACCTCCTACCGCAGCTCCTGCTGACACAGCCAGATCAAACCAGCTGGCAGCAGTGCCTGTAACCAGCAGGTCTATACCATCGTCTGCTTGGATCACCGCTTCATCCCTGTCCTTCTGGCAGGACAGCAGCAGCCACAAGCTCCCTTACAGCCCACGTCCCGGTGCCATCTCCTATAGTCAGTCCCCCCAAAAAGGTAGGAACTTTCCCCCAGCCTCAACTCCATACACAAGCATTTTAAAACCAGGCATGAAGGCAGACACACAACATATACATCGTCAAGGTCATCTACAAACAAAACAGGACAAGGATTCACCATGTTCAGGAAACACTGCAACTTCAAACATCCAATTTGAATTTCTTGGAAGAAAGGGGAGGATATAAAAGAGTATAGGAAAATTCCAACACTGCACCAGGAAGAAGAGATGAGCACGGAAATGCACTGCTTTCTGGTTTAAATGCCCTTTCTAATTCCTCTCATGGCTCCCAGGCAAATCCAAAACATCTGAGAATTTGGAAACACAGAAACGCGATCTCTTGTCGTCTCCCTCTCGGCTTTTTCCCTCAACCGTGGGGAGTTTCTCCTTGCCTTCCAGGTGTCCTCCAGTCTCACCACATGTCCCTGGAGGCGGTGCCCTTGATCAGTTTGAGAAGGATGATCCTTTGCTATTGAACTACAGGCTCCTCTGCAAACTCTAAGGGTGGCTGCTCAGAGTGCCTAGCAAACTAGGACACGCACTGGTTTATGTCTGTGCAAAAGTGGGCCGTGCCAGAGAAATGACCAGCTTGCCACTCATAACCTTCCCAGAGGCATCTCTGTGCTGGATGGAACTGTCGGAGCGCGCTGGCTCTGCCATTTCATCCTTCACAGACCTGGTATTTTCAAACATGTCATCCCATTTGTTCTGCTTTCATCAACACCAAGTCACAAAACAATTCAAACACCTTAGACGGGATGCAGGAGGCATTATTGCCCTCCTGCTGCCTTAGATAAAACAGCAGATGAAAACCACCCATGATCAGTACCGACACGTTGTGCACCTCATTCCAGAGTCTGCAAACATTAATCCTCATGGACACTGCTGTGTGCCAGCAGCCGGCTCCGCAGAGCAGCAGATGCCGAGGTTTGATTACCACCGCCGTGGGGCGAAGGGGGCTGTGACCCACCCGTGGTGAGCGCTGTCTTGTGCGAGTGGCTGGGGCAGGACCCAGGCCTTCCTCCAGCGTGGTCGTCACAAGACCATCCTCCTCCTCATTCGCTGAAGACCACATTGCAACCGACATGACTGACACATGTCAGAAATGGGGGCTTCAGCACCGGCTCTAGTTTTGCACACCGAGGCATTTTCGATTGCAGGGCTCTGAGCATATCTTTGCACATGCAGATTCTGCCATCGGAGAGCCACAGACTGTGAGGGCAAAAGGAGGAGGAGGGTTTACATCCCTCCAAAAATCTGACTCAAGCGATAACTAACGTCATGAAGAGGTTTTCTGTTTTAAATTTGAAAGAAGATCCCCTAATATTATAAAGGAGGAAAATTGCTTTGGAAGAAATGGGCTGAATCCTCCTCCTCATTCGCTGAAGACCACATTGCAACCGACATGACTGACACATGTCAGAAATGGGGGCTTCAGCACCGGCTCTAGTTTTGCACACCGAGGCATTTTCGATTGCAGGGCTCTGAGCATATCTTTGCACATGCAGATTCTGCCATCGGAGAGCCACAGACTGTGAGGGCAAAAGGAGGAGGAGGGTTTACATCCCTCCAAAAATCTGACTCAAGCGATAACTAACGTCATGAAGAGGTTTTCTGTTTTAAATTTGAAAGAAGATCCCCTAATATTATAAAGGAGGAAAATTGCTTTGGAAGAAATGGGCTGAATCACTCCACAGATTTTGGAGAACATATAGAACGAGGAATGAAACTGTTCAGAGAGTTTAGATCCTAGATATGAGCAGAGCTGACCCTCAGAGAGTCCATTACACATAATGGTCTTACCCTCATGTATTTCTGTTCTATGCACAATAAATCCTGTTGGTCTAGAGTCAGTAAAAGTAAAGCTGTTTATCAGATGCACTTATTCTACAGCAGGGTAGTTAGAGACATCACTAATCCTGTTTTGGAAACTTCTTACAGTACTGTGAGTTTCCAGGCCCTAAACAGGATGGATACCTGCCCAGCTATGAGCCTTCCACTAGGGAGCTTGATCTATTTCTTATGGGGTTGTATTATATATTATTTTATTATATATTTTCCACACAGTCTGTGCATGTGTGCTTGTGTCAGAATATTCCATTTTGTGTTTTAGCCAACAGGGCCATGGAATATGTGATCACTTGGTCGCTGAAGGTTAGGAAGAAAAGCTGTTTGATCAATTATGACAAATAATGACTCTTTTTTCGGTTGTTGGTTGAAGAAGAGGTTTCAGAGATGAAGATCTAGGTGTCTCCTGCAGCTGGAGATAACCACATTGATGCATAAGACAGAGATTTCTTGGAGAGGCAAGAAAGCTCTGACTCTCAGGTAACTGGGGTGATCTTTGTTTCACCAGAAGAATATGGAACACACTGGGTGAATATCTGACGATGCATATATTTGCTCATATGTATCCACAAAATGTGTGTTAATCATATGTTTGTGTATGTCTTTAAATTCATGTTATTGTAGGAATCGAATGTTTATGTGCAAAAATATGTTTTACTTCTTGTAAAGATATAATACTGGGGTGCATATTTTTGTGTATTTAACATATCCAGATGCAGACATTTGGATTTACATACAAACACATATTTTTATTGTTTGTATATAAATGCACACATTAGATGCATATGAACACATAGTTACAAATAGGTGTGACTGAATGAACAGATATTTTTGCTGCTTATCTCTGCGTGTGTATGGGTAATAGCGTTTGGTAGCCTGGCACTATTTGCAAATATGAGGACAGGCTGATGTTCTTTGGTTTATTTGGCCAGGATTGCTGCAGGTCAGGCTGTGCGTGATAGCATATGAGAGATTGCCTTTGGGTGTCTGTGAGGAGGCAGATGCACGCTTGTTTCTGCTGGTGCTAGTGTGCTCACTGTGAGCTAACAGGAACAGTATCAAATCTGGGCATCTCTGTGGGACAGCTTCTTCCCAATATGGATGCCCTGATTTGCATTTAGGTGGCTATTTAGGCCTTAAATGCTGATCTGAGCCTCTGGGAATGAGATGTGGATGTCTTGCTGGAACAACAGCTTTGAACACTGGACTCCTCCTGAGTCCATACGATCATGTAAGTCCTGAAGTCCTAAGTCCTTCTCCTGAGTCCATATGATTATGCCTACTTGAGCGTAGGCTTGGATCTATCTTCCACAGCTGCATTTTTAGAATCCTCCTCTCTCGGTGTTTAGGCACGGGGATATCTCTGCACATCCTTCAGGTTAGACATCTGCCTGTGACTGTGTTTGCGCTTGGAGCTAGAGCGGGATGCTCGAGACCCAGGGCTGGGGTTTCAGAGCTCCACGCAGACAGAGCGTGCGGGCAGCTTGGCATCCCCAGCTCGCATCCACGTGGCTTTGTGCGTGTCTCGCCCGGCTGGGTGTAACTTACGTACAGGCTGCCTGTTTTCTGCGAAGCCCTTCCTCAGGAAGATGCATGCTGGCCCCAGCAGGTTGTGCATGACGGCGCAGTTCTGGGCCAGCACCATGAGCGGACCCTGGTACTCGCAAGCCGACGGCCCCTCTTCGCTCGTCTGGACAGCCTTATAGCACGTCTTCTCCTCATGGCGGATCTTCCCAGCCAACCAGCAGCAAGCAAACAACACAACAGAGGATGTTACCTCCCCGTAGTGCCCAGCCGCACCTTGGAAGTTTTACTGAACCGCCTCGCAGAGACATTATTGCTAAATCTCCTTCATCTGGTCCACACTGCGTCCCCCCCCACTGGTCTATTAGGATTTGTACAGAAGCAGTAAGTCCAGGAGTTCACTTTCAAAGGCTGATAGAAGTACAACCAACCGGGAGAATTCCACTTTGAAACGACATCAAGCTCTCAGCACCACTCACATCTACCCAGACACAGCCCAAAGGGCCACGCTCCCGCCATCAGCCCCAGAGTTAACGATCCCTTGAATGAGCTGCAAAGGACGAGCACAGCCCAGCCTAACAGTGCGTGTGCCAGCCTGTGCCCAGAGCGCAGCTGCCGGCAGAGCCGCGTCGGCCAGGGCACCCTCAGGAGAGCAGCCAGGGCCTGCACAAGGACACTGCGCTAGGCTCCGCGTTGCATTTCAGCAACGCAGCATCACACGCTTTAGAATATTATTAGAAGGCCTTTTACAGCATCGGGTGGCTCTGCCAACTGCAGGCTCTCACTCCCTGTGCCACTTCTAATTAGCTGCATCCTCAGGTTCTCAAGCAGTTACTGCGCTGGCCTCTTCTAATCACTGACAGTCCCAAAGCAGAGATCAGGCACGGGAACAACATTTTTGTCTGTTTGCATCTGCACATTTTCCTAAGTGTACACGTCCTGCTAAGCTAGGGCTCCAGAACAGAATCCAGCACTGGATTTTATAAGGAGGCACTGCTTTCCTTTTATAGAAATGCATTTCCCTGGCTCTGCAAGAAAACTCTTATCCTGATATTCCCATGCAGCTATAAAAAGCCAGCACAACCCACAGGACCCTTGGTTTTATAGAATAAACATTAATCATACATCAGATTCCTCTTCAGGAATGATTCTACTTTTACAGCCGGTGTTCCCAGGGGCGATCAGAGAAGCTCTGTCAATTGTCATTGTCTCTATTAACCCTTTCCTTAAAGCCTGAGGTGCTTTTTCAGGCTAAAAGACCAGATACACACACACGCACCCCATTCACACTGGTCCGAGTCGATTGCATCTACTTGCTGGGTCTGCCATGTGCTATTATATTGCACACATGGTTTGTAGTTCGCATTTTTGTACACAGTCTTACACCAATCTGCTCGTGTATAATGTCATGTGAATATCAAGCATCAAAACAAAAACAACTCAAGAAGCAAGCCATGGAGAAAGAAAATGATGAAGCAGAAAAGCATTTTCATTGCAGTCATGGATGAGGAAGAAAACTGACTGATTAAATCTGACACATAGGACACTTGTCCTTAAAAACCTGAAAGATGAGCATCCGTCCACAAATGGCATATTGCTCGCTCAGCTAAATGTCAAGGCATCTGTGTTGAACTGCACAGCTTTGTGATATCAGTGCAATGTATTTTCAAAATTATCAGCTTCATTTTCTGGCACATTTTTCAGTTTACTATACCAAACAATATGAATCACTTAAAATAGCCCACATCAGTGCTGTGTTTAATTCCAGTGAAGCCACGTGAAAGATCGAAGGCCCCACAGCCCCTAATCCTTGTTCGCTGACCCTTACAGTTAACGGAGTTAATTACCAAGCCACAGAGCAGTACCACAGAATGGGCATCCCCTTATTTTCCCGTGCGGATAGAGATTGCCAGTTCGATGAACAGTTGCCAAGAGCCACCAAGGATTCTGACCAGACAACCCATCACAGTGCCCGGATGACAAGGCGCACATCTTAGCAGGCAGGACTTATGGCATTCAGTGTTTCCCGCCAGGTTTCTCCTGCAAGTATGCCCACAAGTCCCCTCCACCACGTTCCTCCTATGCCCCGGCAGAGCCAGGAAGGGAGCTGTGATATGGGTACGGGGCAAAGCAACGTCAGCCGCCCGTTACAGGGGAAACAGCAGCATGCACGACAAGGAAAATGCAAGGACGGGACTGGGGAGCTCAGGCTTTTCCTGTCCCTTCCCGGAGCAACGGACCACTGCCCTTGCTGGCTGAGTCCTCCCCGTGGCTGTGTCAGACCAGCAGATTGTGGAGAGGCAAGAGACGGGGCTGATTAAGAGATGGCTCTACTGATGGTGAAGGGTGGCGAAGAGGGGGACCTGGATGCCAAAGCTTTCCCTTTCTGCACAGCAGAAGCACAACAGGATTCACCTCATTTTCCTGCCTGCCTGTCAGAGGGACTGTGCAGAGCAGCAAGCCCAGAGGGGTCTCTTCACCCTGAGTGCGTGGCTCTCAGAGGGAAAGGCAGCCAGGCTGGCCGCCGGGGTCACCGGGGGGACTCTGTGACAGGGGTAAAGCAAAGCCGCCAACAACAGACGTTGTGGAGACAAAGCTTGAGCACCCAAAACTGGCAAGGTACCCCTGTGTCAGCCAGTCCCAGACCAAGCCGGTGCCTGGGAGTGACTCGCAAACTTTGGGTTGAAATCAGGTCTTCACGAGATCAGTCTGTCACCCAAGAGCAGCTTCCACGCACGTTGCCTATCATCCCTCCTCTTTGCCATTTCAGCAATATGAGTTTGCGCAAAGTAAAATCTGAGAAAAAAGACTGGGATCATAAAACAGCCAAGTGAAATTGTGCAACTTTAAGACTGATCTGCAAAGTCTCCACTATAATCATGTGTGTCGTGATCCAAAGAACAGCAGAGCCCCAGGACCCATCAGGATGAATACCCCAGGCCTGAATTCACAGCTAGCTGGAGCAACGTCTGAGAAATTCTCTAATTCAGCTTTGCAACTTTCTCTCCTTAGTCCTGCCATCCCAGGCCTTCTAACTAGGCACAAAGTGCATTATTCAAAGCAGTGTTTACGAAGGAAAGCATAAATTACCTAAAGGACTGACGACACAGAGCTTATAAGTTCTTGAATCCATTTTGATTCAAGCAGCCTGGCCACACGTCAGACTTTAATTGCAATCGCCTCAATCACGTTGAGCACAGCTGCAGCGAACTCCTTTTATTGCAAGCTGGAGGTGACCTACAAGCAACCAAGATGGTTTTTCATATGTACAACGTCTGGGTAAACCTCATCTACTTCTGCCTCTCCCTGAAGGTCACCCTGACCTAGGGACTGGTCTCAGCACTGCCTAACTGCTTGGTGATGAAATCTCAATTCTTGTGTATCCCAGCTCCCCCGCAGCAGCTCTGTGCCGTCACTGGCTTTGTTTACAGCAGCCAAGATAACAAGAAAACTGTGTTTCTGCACAGAAGAGGCAAGTCTCTGGCCAGAAGAAACTCCCTGCTAGGGAGGTCCTCTCCTCAACAGCTCCCTCCCAGAGGAGCTTTCTCGGGCAGCCAGGTGTCCTGGGTGGAGCATCCTGATGGCAGGGGCACTTCACTCTCGGCAAGGTCTCCATAGAGGTAGTTCCTCACTGCAATACTTTGGGTGCTTAGCATAACTTTTTTGTTTACGAGGAGTGAATTGCATAGCTTTTTGCTGAGTTACTAGATTTGCAGCAATGCCAAGTGAGAACCATGCAGCTGACAGGTACGCAGTGCTGCAAGACCTTCTTCAGTCAAACAAGAAATATTTCTGGGGCATGTCATTCCCCTTTCAATCTAGTCCCTATCAGCAGAATCATTCCTGAATCTAATTTGTCCTGGGATCACTGTAAAACCTCAGCACAGAGCAGACCACGAGTTGAAGCCTAACAGATACACACAGCAGCTCGCAAATGAAGTCCAGCTGGGCCCAAGCGTGTAGACACATGGGCTGTGCTGCCGTGCAACATGATGCACAAACATGCATCCGGGGCCCAGCGTGCCCACTCACAAAGAGGCATGGACAAACAGATCACAGAGAAAAACATGCTTCTGTACCCAAACACATGCCAACAAATCTCGATGTGTGCATACGCAAGGATGGATGTACATAAAAAGACGTGCGTGCCTACATAGAGACTTCTGTGAGGACATCCACTAGCAGGTATCCACACACAGAGTGCCACACAAGCAGGGATTCCAGTGCGATGCCCACAAATTCTGCCCGTACACACTCACAACAAACACCACACGCCTGCTCACGCACCTCAGGATGCGTGCGTAGGGACGTAAACAGCCAAGGACACCCACCTGCCTCAGATGGGCTCGTTAGGTGTGCACACTCTTACAGACTGACAGGAATACGTACAGACAGGCACATGCCCGCTCACACATACGTGAATGTCGCTACAGAAATGGCACACATGACTAAACTCATGCAGACACCTCTGGACTGGAGCACACACACACACAAACTCACACGTGTACACACACGATACGTTAAGATGCCCGTACGGAAAATGTGTGCCAGCACACTGTGCACATCGACAAGCACAACCTTGCACGTACCCAGGGGACAGCTCTGCACACACAGGGAGCAGGACACAAGCAGGCTCACGTGTATGCATACACACATGTTTATTTACACACATGCTGCGGCACCCAGCATCCCAGGCTCTAACGGCTGCACTTTCATGAGCAGCTCTTACGAAAAAAGACTGGTGGAGAGAGCTGAACCCTTCACACACATCTCTGCATTTCTCCCACCTCCCATTCCCATCTGCCCACAACGTCACCCATCCCAAGAAGCAGGGCTGGAAACGCACAATGCACTTTGATTCAGGGAACATACCTTTTTTGAGAGGTTTCTCAGTGGAGACTTCACACAGTTGCCCATAATATGCTGAGTCTGCCTTTCCGGTGGACTTGGTTATAAATGAACTGAAGCAACTGATCCCATTAAAGGTATTCCTTGGGAGCAAAGCAAGAAAGGCAGTGCCAGGCAAATCCAAACAGCTACTGGCTGCTGGGGCTTCCCTCTTCAGGGAGCTTTTTCTCTCTCTGCCTCTCTCTCTCCGTGTTTTTACTTTATGTTCACTTTCTTGAAGAGATGAAGCAGGAAGGAGAGGGAGGGGAGAGAAACAGACAGAAAGAGAAGGAGAGAGGGAGAGAGAGAGAGTGAGAAGGGGAGAGAGAGGGAGGCGGATGTATAATCTACATCAGATTAATGTTCAAATCCCTCCCACCCCCCTCAATCTGCAGGCAAGATTGTTTCACTCATGGGAGAGGGCTGATTCAGGGAGAATTAAAACAGAGAGGCACCGCAAGAAGTGATTTCAGTGATGATGAGTTCAGTGAATCCAGCTAGTTTGGGTCCACACAGCCTCTAAACACTGCATCCCTACCCACCCCCCTTCTAACTCCTCTTGGCTTTTCAATCACTAGCGAGCTAGGCTGGCCAGAAGGCAATCCACTTAGGGGCTTGGAGCACAGTCCAGAGCGCGTTTCAGAGCAGAAGTGGACCATTTATCTGGGTGGGACCTGTTGCAGCTTATAAATACCAGCAGACCTAGAAGTCCCTCATTCTTTTCCTGCCACGGTGGAAGCAAGACTGGAGGCAGCAGTCCAGGGACCCTACAACACTCTCGGCCCCAGGATAGTAATTTTTAACCACAAGGGAGAGACCTTGAGCCAGTCTTGCAGTAAAGTTTTTCCAGCTTTCCACAAGTAGAAATCAACTGGCTGTTCACCTGCACAAGTCTGCCAAAGATGGGCTTACACCTGAATCCTAAATCTGAACAGCCCCAGGCTATTTAATGTGAAGCAAAGAATCTGGACTTCAGATCCATCCATTCCATTTCCAAGCACCCAAGTCCTGGAATAAATAAGAGGCTCCTAAACCTAGAGCCAGCTCTGAACTCCAAACTTTAGGCCTGTTGTGGTAACAGAATCATCTCTGAAAGAAAAGGGATGAGTCCCCAGTATGTTTTCCTCTGATCTCAGGCTGACCGTAAGCACATTCAGTCTGAAAAAGAGATTTAAATTCCATAAAAATCTCACCATCACACCCAGGCAACAGGATCTGAACAGGATGGTGAATACAGCCTCTAGGTATGAAGCCACCACAACTGCAGCTCCACAGTGGTAAGAAGCCATGGCGTGAAGAGCTACCTCCCTCAAGAACTGTGAAGACCAAGATGACACTGATTCTACACCCTGTCTGTGCAGTGGACTGGTTAGACACTCAGCTGTTCCCCTGAAAGGTTTCACAACTTTCTTTGTGAGTGTGGTTCCAAAGACTCTACAAGTCTGTGGCTCTACAAAGACCTAACCCATGGGCTGAGTATGTGCACCACATGCAGGAGCCAAAGACTCATTCTCCTGGCAGCTCTAGGGCTGTAGGACAGAGAAGGATGAACTATCAATGTCACAACAAAGCAGGGATTTCTCTTCTCCCACCTTGCTGGTGCTGTGGCAAATTAAATGTGATTGTAAGGTGAATCAACGGTTGCTTGAAAGCTTAGAGGCTTCTTCCACCTGAGGAGATAAGTTTAGGAGTCCAGCCATGACAAGAGTCAACAGCCTCTCCAGTTCCAGTCGCAGCCAGAGGTGCACGGCCATGCGGGATGGCATTCCTTGCTGTTCCTTGTACTAACTGCTCCCCAAGAGTGAAGCAGTGGAACAGCCTCCTCTCAGATCTTCTCAATGCCTTCTTCACTGCATGGCCTAGGAAGAAGCTGCACAAAGGTCCACAGGCCCTCCAAAGCAAGAAGCTGCAGTAGCAGATACTGGAAGACACCCCTTGCACCCAGGGCAGACTGAGAGGGGGACAGAGGAGATGGGGAAGCTCTGGTCTAGAAAACCTCCATAGCAGAGCCCACCCATGGTGGGCTGGGAAGCAAAACTGTTCCTGAGCAGGGCCTGCCTCCCGCTGTCACATTGTTAAGACCCCTGACGCTGTGGAAATATACAGTCACTCCTTGGGGGCTGTGCCAGCCCTGGGCCCTGCAGCGGGGGGACTTTGCAGGAGGATGCTGAAACTCCCAGCTCCTCTCGAGGCTGCCATCTTTGGCTCTATTTCTCTTTCCCCTCTTAAAGCAGCTAATGGGAGGCTGATCTACCCTCAGCCAAAGTGCCGGTCGTTAATAATGTCCTCTGTCAGCTGGAGCCATTCCCCAGGCTCCTTGTTTATTGACAGAGTGCTTGTCTCCCTTGAGCAGAAGCTGCCACACAGTGAGCGAGGCGCCTGGCCTCCTTCCTGAGACAAACGACTCCAATTCCACGGCCGAGGGGAGAGAGAATCGCCTCCCTGCTGCTAATTAATTTCCCCTTGACAAGCAGCACGGAGGCCAGGAATACCCTGCAATTGAGAAGTGCCTGTCTCCTGCATCCTCCCGGAGAGAGGGAATGGAGCAAGGGGGTCGGGCATCTCCTGCCAGGAGAATCCTTCACAGCCCCCAGCCTGCCACAGGACAGCTTTGGAAGACAGGCGCTGAGTGTGCCTTACAGAGCCCCAAAAGCCTCTCAACAAAAGCTGAGATGGTCGTCATCCTCCAAATATTAGCTTGTACCCGAGCATTCAGAGCCAGCCACCATGGCACATTGCCACTATTGCCTGCTCTCCTGCTTTTCTTTGCTGAAGCTGAGGGAAACATGCAGGGCAGAATGAGAGGGCTGAGACCTGCCTCCAGGCTTGGCCAGGAGTTCACAGTCCAGGATGGGAAGAAGTGACGGGAGCTCACGTGCGCCAGGTTTGCAGCACAGTCACAGTCCTTTGACCCCGCAAGGACTCTGGCAGAGCTGCAAGGGGCCCAAGAGACGGGACCGTAAACAACTTTCTTATCTCCTTATTTACCCTGAATCTCTTAACAGCAATTGGGCAGCACATCACAATCTAGCAGACAGACCCTGCTGAGCTCTGAGGACGAAAATCATTCTCTGCACTGGGATCTTGTTCCCATCACCACCACAGGCAGCTTAGAGATAGGCAGGAAAGTGGAGCTGGCAGAAAGGTCATTAGAAGATTAGGTTAGAAGGAATATATTTTCTCCCTTCCTCCAACTGAGGCTGCTGTAAGAGAACAGGATGCTGAGAATAAGTGTGTCAAAAACATTTGTGTGTAGGTGCTGATCTGTGGGTATGCCTATATCTGGGGTAGTCAGTGTGCGTGTGGGAGGGCTGCACATGCATGTGTACTGGTTTTCCCACACTGTTCTTTGTGGCAATCACACTGTTCTTCTAAGGTCTAGGGCTCTGTTGTAAACTTTCTAAAAAAAGGCAGGGACTTTGTGAAATGCGAGTCTTGCCTATGTGCCCGCGTCCCGTCATCTCCCCCGAGGCCCAAGGTGGGGAGCAGAGACATCAGTGGATGTGGTTTGGCACAGAGCAAGGTCTCGGCTCAGGGGAAAGAAGTGTTTGGCGCATTGGCTGACCCTAGCACCGAGCAGGGAGGAGGCTGGCTGACTTGGCATTGAAGAGGGAGTGATTTAGGTGGTTTAGTAAGTCCTGATTCTTTAAAAAGCAGCAGTGATGTGCTTCTGGATGGCACCTTTGGCAGAAATGCTCATTCCACAGGCAAATGTTGCATCCCACCATAGCTAGTCACTTGGTAGCTGCCAGAAACTTTATCCGGTGACAGGAAATATCCAACAGCCACAACAGAAAGAACACAAATCAATCCAAAACTTGGGATTGTTTATCAGACCGTAGCTTTCCTGGCAAAAATTTCCAGTGGAAGTACAGATTTGTACAGGGAGACTGTTCAGATGCCAGGCCCATTTCAGTGCATGGTCTTTCGCTTGCTGGAACATTAGATCAGATAGTTGCTCTCAACATAACACAACACAACACTGCAACAGGGCAATGTCAGTAGGTAGGCGAGTTAACCTCTGAGGGGAGTAGGTAGTCAAGCAGGGAAAACTCATTTCTAGCATCTTTTCACTGGAGTCCATAGTTTTATCCAAGAGCCCATTGTACGCTTCAAAGATATAGTATTTTAAAATATGCCACCTTATTTAATTTATCCTGACAGGTAAGAATTTTTGGTCCGTTTTTTCCTATCACGGAGTAGAGAGTGCACATATCGATCAGTATCAAATCCATTCCCAACCACCCTTTAGCTGGTGGCCATCGATCTGTGTTTTACAAGAAACAACCCAGTCTTGTTTACTGGATGACCTCCGATGAGCCTTAGCATTTGGAATTGTTAACATCCTCCCATTGCCAGTGCTGTCAAGGGCCTTCTTTCAAAGCTCCCGACTGCTGGAACATGCACTGGCACTCCGAACTTTTGCGACTAGCTTCTCTCTCTTCTTCTGTGTCAGACTCCCCAAGTGCTTTTGCTGCACGTCAGGCTGTGTCTTCTAACCTCCAATGAACCTTGGATGGTTCCCTATTCCAGCCAGACAAGTACAGGTCCATCTCAAGGGGAGGCACCAGGTATCGGTGGCTGCAGTCCAGATCCTCATCTCGGGGGAGGAATATTTCTGCAGAGAGTTTGGGAACTTTCTTTGCTGTCAGCTGTTCCAGGAAGAAAGTGTTGCTGACTCACGCTGTGCATAATATTCTCCTCCATTAGAGCAATTGGATCATATTCAATCATCACAAACAACAGAAGGGTTATTAAAAAGACCAAGGATATTTTCCATCCCTCTCAAGGTAGCAAAGCCTGCTCTGTCAACTTCTGTTTGGAACAGCTTTGTCTGTAATTAGCTGCTTTATTCTGCATTAGATGAAAAGCGATGGGAATGTGCCATCTCCTGACACCTTCCTTGCAGATCTGGTCCAGATATTTTGCACTAGCCCAACTTCTGAGTCCTTGTGCAGGAGATGTGTTGGCCAGAGCACAACATGTTGTGGATATTTTCTGCTTTCAAGATCATCAGTGGGCTACAAACAGACAAGTACAAGCTTGACAGCCCAGAAACTGCTGTCACAATTTGCTGTGTACACGTAGTACAAAGATTGTTAGAACGAACCTTAAGTGGTCCCTTCCCTTTGCTGAGGCGTATGAGAATTGTGAATCACTATCTGTCTGGGACTACTGCGAAAGCAGCTGATTCTGCCCTGGCTCCCTCACCTCTCCCAAAGCGGAAGGGACAGGGGGGCAGGATTTGGCTGGCACATTGAGGTGCCACAG